TCTTCTTCTTCTTCTTCTTCTTCTTCTTCTTCTTCTTCTTCTTCTTCTTCTTCTTCTTCTTCTTCTTCTTCTTTTTCTTCTTCGATTATGTTAACCAGTAACCTTCAGCAACTGCCCAAAAAAAAAAATGGGAATTGGGATATCACGTACCTATAACCATAACACTCTGAGATATTGGAATCTATGCATGCGTGACAACATCCATAATTAATTAGTTTCAGATAACATGACTTACTGAGAAAGAACATGAGCAATGGCAGCACCCCTAACACCCCAGTAGAAAACAAAAATAAAGATTATTGATGCTACTGTCAATCTCCAAAAGAGGGGGAGAGACGGGTAAAGGTAAATGTGGGAAGATACGGTCCTAAATTAGCGCCTAATATAAATGTACTCTTAATTATATCCCTAATTTTAATTAGGTATATAAATGGTAATTTGGTATGCTGAAATGTAATTAACACAAACTTTAAATATTGAAGGTAATAAGGTTTCATATATGGTATAGGAAGGTAAAAATTCATTTTTTGTAAGTGGGTAAAAATTTGGGCTATTAAAATTTTGAAGGGCTATAGAGGTAGTTTTACCTCCAATTAAATTCCATCAAACTCGTCATTCAGGGGTCAACAGAAGTTGAAGCCCAGCCCAGTTAAATCAACGAAGTATTGTTTCACTTACAGTTTTCTACTTCACTCATTAGTTAACACACAAGCAAGATAATGAAGGTGGGCGGTGGAGTGGCTCTCGGATGTCCACGCGCCGTCGCATTTCCGGGCATTTTCTTCGGCCGCTGCAGACCAGCATTCCGTTGCTATTCCTCTTCTTCTCCAGGTAATGTAAATTCTGCAAACCTATAAATACTTCTCCGTGTATATTTATACATACATACATATGGATAGAGGCGTAATTAATTAGTATACCTAGAGTAAAATTTGAATTTTCAAATTGGTGGTCGTCCATTCGAGTTTTATGTTAGTAAAACATGAGTTGCTTCAGTGTACTGAGCTATTTCATCCAGTTTAATTTGATCCTAGCTGGTTACTGGTAAACGTTTCATTTATTTGAATGCATGAATGGGTAGTGGAGTGAGAATGTTGGGATTTTTGCAATACAGATCATGTGTCCTTTATCAAAGATGTAGCTGCAACTCAAGCACCAGAGCATTTGAATGAACTTCTCAAAATCCTTCAGGTGAGAGGTGAGGCACTCTAATTCCATGTTTTAATTTTCATTTCATTAACGATTTGTGGAGAATAAATGTTTGATTGTTCTGAGGTATGCTTCTATTGGAAAAAGAATGAATCAACTAAAATAGAGAAGCCAGCTTTAATTAGTTATTGTGTCGTAATATATCTGGTTCAGAGTGCTTCTAGTTAGAGTTAAACATTACTACATTAGTACCTACACTTACCTATTTAATGCATGTTATTGTTAGGATATAACTTATAGCTATTGAAACTTAAGGTATCACGATTCTCGATGTATCAGATTAGAGTAATCCTCTGCTCTTGGTTACTCTATATTAAGGAATTGGTATATGTTGACCTTGTAGAACTGACGGAGACGTGTTTATATCCTTTCTTAGAATTACCTAGCCGAATTCTTTTTTTTTTTNAATTCCTCTTTCCAGAAAGGGTTCAGGTATGGCGGGAACTGAATTTGATATCAAGCTTCTCTAAGTTGAACGTATGCTTCTATGTTCACTGTTTTTTCCTTCTTTTTTTTCTTTGTAGATTCTGTAACTGCACTGTTACGATGGCCAACTGCCCCATCTGGGTAATATAAATCATCAAATTGCTGAGTTTTGTGGATTTATGCTTTTTGGTTAGCTATCTTGGTTTATTCTCTGGGTTTGATTCTCTTAATTGCGCTCAGGAAAAAAAAGAAGGGAAAAAGAATATTTTCTATTTGATCTATATCCTCATTTTTCGCAGGATGGAGATGCCGCTGGTAGAGGTGCGCAAGTATGGTGTATGGCTATTAGCTAAGAATGTAAGCTTCTATGACTTGCTCTACTAAATGGGATATGGATGAAGTTTGAGAGGGTTAATTGCTTCTCTTGTACTCTTAGAGGCGGATTTACCTTAGGCCAAGCGGTGTCACGTGGCACCGCTTGGTCGGAAATTTTTATTAAATATGTATATATAATTAAAAGACAGAAACAAAATACAGGTAAAAAACTTCAAGTGACACCACTTGAAACAAATAACTGTCTAGCTAAACTGGTCCGGCTCCTTGTTTTTCCAGAATAGGTCGTGGGTTCGAAGCCCTGAAAGCTTCATTTACTATTTCAAAATTTTTTTGCCTCATTTACACAAAATCTACATTGTAGTGAGCAGGGGTCGAACTGCTGACCTCTTAAAAGCATACATAACTTCTAGCCATTCAATCAGCAATAACTTAGGTATATTTTTGTGAAAATAAATTATTTGTTCTACGGTTAGGAGTATGTACTATTTTTTCCCTTGTTCCCTCCATCTCCTTTATAGCCAATAAAATTGATTAAGAACAACATACGAACTTTTAGTGATTATTAGGTACTTTATATAAGATAAAAAAATATTTAATACTTTTCTAATTAGGTTTGAATACTTTTCTAAAAACAAAGTTCATCGAAAAGAATTATAGTAATATATTAGAGTTGTGTTTTATTAATATGATTCAAATTGTATTTTTTTTATATAATATTGTTAGTAGTGTTTTGTTTACTTGTACAATTTCAAAGTGTAACACCGCTTACGAAAAATCCTGCGTACGTCATTGTGTACTCTGGCTTTGGTAGCATGCATGAATGCACACAATTTATCTCTCACCTTTCCATTTTACCATGATATAGGTAGATCAGTACATTCACAGGGTATTGGTGGAAGAAGATGCAAACAGTCATGAAGAAAGAGCGGATGAATTGTTCCGGATTTCAGCTGGTGCTGAAAAGAAACTTTATGAGAAGGGTGACTTTATAGCATCAAAAATTTCAAGCTTAGATACTTATATATTGAAAAAGGTAGAAGAATGTACGTATGCTGCAGTATCTTGTGTTGGGCATTCATTGACTCAGACTAATTGCACCCATGTAATATTCTTTCTAGGTTGGCTTGTTTCCAGACGTACTGGAGCGCAGAGTTAAGCAGCATTTTGACAATGGAGACGATGTAAGAAAGTTGTTCTTTATTTAGTAAGCAATGCTCAATTCTTAGCATTTGGGTGATATGTACGTGCTGTTGGAAGATTTCAGCTTTGGTGACGGGAGAATTTTATACGAAGAAGGAGCATTTTCCAGGATTTGCGCGGCCTTTTGTCTTTAATGCTGAAATTCTGCTGAAGTCTGTATATCTCGTAGTTCTTGTTCATCCTTAAATCTGTATATCTATTAAACAAGTTATTTCTATAGGATATTTACTCATATTCTTCTCTTTTTGTCTAGGGTTGGGCGCAGTGTAGAGGCTAAAGATGCTGCTAGGGGGGCTTTAAAATCACCATGGTGGACTTTGGGTTGCGAGTACCATGTACGCCATTCCTTGATCCAATCAATATCTTCTTCCCTTTGCAGCACACTGATGTTAGGTCTGTTTGTTTACTCTTTATTGAACCCCATGCAGGAAGTTGCTAACATTGCCGAATGGGAAGATGAACAAATCGAGTACATCAAAGAGAAAGTAACTGAGGAGGGTAGGCAAGCTGATCTAAAGAAAGGGAAGGAACCTGCTCAGGTTTGACCAAATCCTTTAATCAATTTCAGTTCAAATATGTTTGTGTACTAAAATGATATATATCTTGGTAGGTTTCCGCACTTGCATAATGCCTACTTAATATTTTGAATTAGTGCTACTCCGTGCAGAAAAACAACGGCGTAGCTCCTTTTTCACACCACGCCTACTTTGCAGGTTGCATTGGATGAAGCTGCTTTCTTGTTGGATCTAGCTTCTATTGACGGTAAATGGGACGATTGCGTGGAAAGGATTGCTGAATGTTACAAGGAGGCAGGGCTGCATGATGTTGCCAACTTTGTGGTTTACAGAGACTGAATTACCAGTAACTTTGTTGAATACTAGACGTGTTATACGAGAGACTTCCTACGATTCCTAGTTTGTATTGGCCTATTCAGTTTTGACTCTAGTGCTGTGTATTCTAATTCTTTGCAGTATAACAAGAAGACACTTTACAGCAATCCTTTTAAATGCACCGCCATTGAGGTCTCTTCACTCACGCTGGGGTCAATTGTAAAAGACCAGATAAGGAAAAACAGTAGTAAGAAATAGCTTGCAGAAGTTGAAGCATCTATGAAGTATGGTTCACGATCCAAACAGCTGTTTACTCGTTTGATATCGTTATTAGAAAAGGAACCTCGGATTTCTGCTACGTGCAAAATTATTCAAACATGTTTATTGGGGGTCAAATATTGGTATAATAACAGGAAAATACTCGTGCTCACAGAAATTTCAGTTTACTTGTTCTTTTTTTTTTTCCAAGTACACATTACTCGACTAGCAAAAACCGTATGTCACAAATATGAAGCACATGTCACACTCATTTCACTTTGGTTCGTGCACCAAGTTTTATCCCTATTTCCATTTGCCATGGAAAAACTATATCAATGAGGTTTACGCGTAAGTTCTAGTTCTCATATACAATACTACTTACAGTAGAACAAGAAAAGGAAAAAGAGAAAGGAAAGAGAGGGAGACAGAGAGAGTGGGAGACAAAAACATTGCTTTCTGCGCCAAACCAAGCCATGAATGAAGCATAGACATCACTAGAACCAACAGGCCTGCAGCTTCGAATGACATCCATGCAGGTCATACGTTAAGTTTTGTCTTGCTACTATTTTTCTTGCCTTTTCGCAACAGCTTTTTCCACAATCCTAGACCATTCTTTTTCTTGCTAGGTACAATAGCCCGGGAGCCATTAACAGCTTCATATCCTGAATGTGTGCTCCCATTTGTCAATGGAGACTTTTCTGGCTGTTCCACTGAACCGCCAACACTGGAGGATGTAGTTCTCTTGGCATCAAGAATGACTTCCTTGGTAGTAGGAGAACGCATTTCATTATCCTCAGCCAGCATCTTGTCAAGAAGAGATGAACGACGTCCAAAACTCTTCCTTGGGGTTGTCACGGTAACACTAGTTGTTTCTGAGGATGTAGATATCACCTTATCAAAGAGAGCAGCATCCCCAGGCGAGGCCAATGCTTTCAACTGCTTCCCTAGGTTCAAAATAGTCTCTTGACACTCTGCCAACTTTTCTGAAGCTGCAGTGATCTCCCGATCCTACACCATTAAACAGAATATTTAAATGAACGTGGCCAGTAGATTTGCGAGGCCTGAGGGAATTTAACTGAAGCTGATGGGAACTTACACTTTGAAGAAGCTTTTCTTCAGGGCCCACCTCGGCATTCTCTGCTAACTCCCTTTGTTTCGTGCTGCAAGTTACGTGTTTCAGGAAACGAAAATCCCCTAGACAATTATCTTTAATAAAATTTACAAGAGAATCAGATGTACCTTTCTTGCTGCAGCTGAAGCATATGACATGTAGAATCGAGCTTCTTATAGGAGTTTTTTTTGTCCTCAAGTTCCTTTTCTAAACAGCAAGCCTTTCGACAAGCTTCATTCAGTTCCAGTTTAACTGCTTTGAATTGCATCTCAAAGTCTTCTTTGGCCATCTTTTCTTTCTCAATTTGATCCTCAGTCATCTCCTTTGATTGTCTGAGATCTTCTACTTCTTTTTGCAAGCTTTTGATTGTTTTCTCTGATTCCTGAAGTTGAACCATCAAGGAATCATTCCTGACAGTTTCTGCTTGCAGTTTCTCATCCAAATCCACCTTTGTAAGTCCCTCTTCTGGAAACTCATCTTTCGATAATTGACTTTCATTATCTACATATGATAGAACCTTTTCCTCTGGCAAAGAACTCATACGACCGAGTGAGGAAAAACCCGGAGAGTATAATGAGTTTCCTCTTCCAGTCTGAAGTTTATCAAATTCAAAGATCGGATTAATCCCCCCAGTTTCCATTTCAATCTCACTTCGCGAATCATCCCAGTCAAAATGGTTTTTTATAGCATCCTTCATGCTTGAAACATCTTGAAGAGAAAAACAGTGGTTCACAATCCATTCCAGAGTCCAGGTTAATCTTTCAGTAAACTTCTCTATGTGAACCTTTCCATTCAATAAATCACGGCAAGTTTGAACAAATTCTTGAAGAATAGCAGATAGTTCTGAAGTTTTCCACTGGAAAACACGAACCATATAGGCTGTCTCCTTCGGTGCACTTTCATATGGTAGAAGTCCATTACCCTTGCAAGATAAGATGTCTGGAATATTGTCATCTGTTGAGGGTATATTGATCCCTTCTATGATATCAATCACCTTATTGATCGATGTACCCATGTATGATAACATGTTTGGTTCACACTTTCTTGCCGATGAGACAATATCACCAGTTCCTGTATTTGATGAATGCCATATTACTGAGTCATCATGTATACCCCGAGATATACACTCACCAGTGTTGGGAGTAAATGTAACATCAGTATCTATTGAACTTTCATTTGCTTCTACAGGGTTCTTAGTTGAGGGACACTTTTGTGCCAAAGCAGTTTTGATATCTTCCAGTATTTCAAATGGGTTTCTTTGTGTTACATGGCCATGTTCGAAGAGCATTCTCAGTATGTTATCAACTCCACCAGTAGATTTACTCGTCAATATTCCTTTTACCTGGATATCGTTGCTGGAGACAAAACGATCTGCCACAGGAACTCTCTCTCGGATATCTGCTTCTGATGAATGAGAATGTAACTGAGACTCCAAAGCATCCTCATTTCCATTTTCCCTCGGTAAGGCATGATGAAGAGCTCCCAGAGGGTTATCTGTAGACTCAAAGGCTAATTTTTCCATCTCTGCAAAGTCATCCATCAGATTTATATCTGAAGCTCCTACACTTACAGATGATGGTGGACCTATTTGTTTCTCATTTTTGAAATGCTCCAGCTCTGACATTAGTGCAGAAGCCCACGACTCGGAACAGCCACCTATGTCATCGCTGTCCATATCAGACAGTTCCTGCACAGAGGGAGGATATTTTTCTGGTTCAGCAGTTGTTTGAGCATTTGTCATCCTAGATAGTTTGAGTTCATTAGTTCTTTTGTATAGCACTTCTTTCAGAGCCCGATTTTCCTCATCCATCATGCATAAATGCTCAGCGAGGAAGTTAATCTTCCTGTTTGGAGTATCAGGAGCCGTCTCTGAAGTTAAGTCTACTGAACTATTTGGAGACGGATTTGACTTCCTTCTCCTCATTTTAGCATGATCCTTCCCCAACATTTCAACTTCATTCTTCATTTTGGCCAAGGCGGCAGGGCCTGGCAGTCTCTTTCTAACAAGGATACGTAGCCTTTGACATTCTGAGTCCAGTTTTGCGATTTTCTTCACACTCTCCAGGTGTTGCTTGTGAGAAACATCAGCTGTTCGGCGATTAACCTCTCTCTCTTCATTCCGGATCTCAAGCTCCTTCTCAAGGACCCGAACCTCATACCGCAGAGAAGCATTCTCTTTTCCAACAGATTCCAGTCGCGTTTTCAAGACACTGAAATCTGCTTCTGCCTGAGCTAATTGTCCTTTTAAATGACCCGTTGCCTTTTCCTTTGCCATGAGAGCCATACTAAGCTGAGTGTTCTCGGAACCTAATCGGGAAAGCTTTTGCCCTGCATCTGCTAATTTTCTCTCTAAGAGAGTCCTTGTTTTTTCGAACTCGTTGGATGCCTTCAATACTGCATCGTGAATCCTGTTCTCCTGCTCATCTCTAACGAAACGCAACTGCTGCATACATTCCTTGAGTGCTGCATCCAAGTTAACTAATCTCTCTTCACCCGCTACGCTCTGCTGTAGAGCTTTTTCTAGTTCTTGCTTTAGCAATCTTGCTTCTGTTTCAGTCTTCTCCCAGCCTA